AGATGATTAATAGTGAGTGATGCTCATGTGATTATCAGGGAGAACATAAGTTGTAACCAGGGGAGTACACTCCCAACTCATGTCTATGATAATGGCTTGAACCTTAGTCAGTGTTGGGGTAAATTCGACATTGATGTTTTCAGTTTGCAGGAGATTTGCTCGACTGCTTATACTGATTATTTGCATGCATGATTGTGTCGCTAAACCATCAATTAGACTGACAAGGTTTTGAGATATTTACTGAATGAGCAACTGATAGAGAAACATACTGTAATCATCTGTGTTGGATGAAGATAAAGAAAACAACACTAGTGATAATTATAAGTCAATTTGCTGACCGATTTTGTTAATAGTTTCATTAATTTTATCAATCATATTACGTGATTGTCAAGTCATGACAATGCTTTATGACGATATCCTGAAACTATTGCGTTTAACTAGTTATAGTGTTGATTGAGGATTAGTCAGTGGAAAAATAGGTATTGTTGCTTTAGGTGATTCGAAATTATCAGAAATTTATAACGTTAAAGAATCCGAGACGCCTAATTTAATTATAAATTTCAATTCAGAAAGATTCGTTTAGTGTTAATTCTAGTAGGCTACGGAGTTTTGATTTTAAACGTTTGTTTAGCCAACAGCTACCTGAGGGTTTAGTTATTTTACTAGTGCAGTTGATAGTACCTAAATTTTTAATCTTATTATCTAAACTATGTTCGCATTTTAGGCTGCTAATATGATAAACCAATCCATAAACCCAAATACGATTAGCAACAACGACTATGATGGGTTTATTGATAAATGTTAAAGGCGATTCAGATGATTTCTAAATTTAGAAGACATGAAGATATAGTAAAACGTATGTACGGGCCAGGTTAACATGCAGGTTGTTGACGTATATGACAATTTAAAAATAATGAACATGACCAGAAAATAATTTTAAAGTTAAGACTGCTTGTGAAACTTCAGGCAGGAATATGATGCGTTATAAACATTCCATAAGAAGTTACTGCATTTAGCCTAGGGACACTTACAAATATATAGCAAAAGGAACCGGAAAACATATACATGTTAAGTAAAAAAAATCATTAAGTAAAATAGTTGAACTCGCCTGGGTTATTTTTGAAAATTAGATTATTCAGTGGACGACATATATAACGCCATTCGTGAGGAGTAGTAATGATCCAAAAGTATCCAGAATAAAACATGCAGTATGGCAATTAATTCCAGGGTGCTTGATGCTGTTGACGTTTTTGCCACTCGCTCGGATCAGAACAACCGAATGAATCCAGATAATTGTGCGGTCACCATTGAACGAGCCATCTAAAATGACCTTATGATTGCAGAAAACTTATGGCTGAAACTCACCGTATGTTTTTAGAGAAGTGTCATCCTTGTTGTTTGGCAATGGAACTCGAGAATTTGAAATTAGGCAGGCAGTGGTCGGAAGAAAAGATATTACAGGATAGTGCATAGTTTAAAACAGGATGAGGTGATAAGGAACACTGAATATTAGATCCAGGTAACTATTTAGTCCTTGCTGCATTGTTAGTCAATGTATATTTGCGTTATTTACAGGTCATATTTGCTAGAGCTTGATGCTTAAACAAGTCTATGTCGCTGAAGCATGTAAATGCTATTAAAGCTTGTTAACGAACCATCAAAGCTAATTAGTTAATATAGACGACCAGTTTTTATTATCGATTGAGCTAGTATGTCATGAGAACTAATCAATATAACATTACGATAATACACGTGAGCATTAATCAGGACTGTTAGAATATTGGGTTAACATAAATACAAAATAGATCAAGAAATTTAGAATGGAAATAAGATTAAAAATATTAGGTTGCGTTTCTCTAGTCGGGCTTACCAATGTAGAATTATGGTCTACTATGGTATTAGTACTGCTCTAATAATAGACCTAATCCTAAATTTGTAGATTTGTCATGATATAACTGCCTAATCTATAAGATCTTACGTGGAAGTCACACCATCGACTACACCAACTCACTGTATCGTATCAATTACCAATACATGATGTAGAACAAGGTTAGGCTAGAGAAGGAACAATATATTTAATATGAATAGAAGATATAAGGTAATATTCAGATGGACCACGCCTGCATGGCCGAACCATGCTACTCGATCAACTCTAGTTTATTCCATTCGTTGTTCGCGCCTTCTCCATTGTTAGGTATTTCTCCGCGTTAAATATTGAATGTCTATTTTCTGAGTAGTCTCGTGTTCACAGCTTTATGGATTGTGTGGCTATTGTCCAATGCCACTACAGGTCCCCCAACTCTAGCAGAAGTTCAAAAGGCTATAGTTAATCGGAAACCAGGAAGGGTAGCTGGTCCAGATGGATTGACACCAGATAATTTTAAGGGTGGTAATCCAATTTTGACGATTAGGTTGACTGATATTTTAGATAAGATTTGGGAGTTAGACGTTATTCTATCTCACTGGTCACAATCACTTACCGTCCCAATATATAAGAGAGCGTTAAAATCATCCTGTGGAAACCATAGAGGGATTAGTTTAACCAATACAGTATCTAAAATACTAGCCCCGATAATTATCACACGCCTAACTAAGACTCGTGAACTGCAAACACGAGAGAATCAAGCTGGCTTCAGACCTGGTCGTGGCTGCATCGACCACATATTCACCATTCGTCAGGTTCTAGAACATTGGCATACTTATCGACGTCCGACAATGGTGGTCTTTCTTGACTTAAAATTAGCATTTGACTCGGTAGACCGCGAGTTTCTATGGCAGTGTCTTTCATTGAAAGGCGTTCCTCAGAAGTACATAAACGCTACCAGTCGAGTCAGAGCTTATGGCGAACTATCATCTGCTTTTGGAACTTCAAGTGGTGTCCGACAAGACTGTCCACTTTCTCCATTTTTGTTTAACTTCATCATAGACCTTCTAATGGATATAACATTCTCGTCTACGGTTATGATTTGAAGCTCACGAGTTCACTTATGCTGCGAACGAGAACAAGACTCAATGACCAAAGACTAGTAATCTAACTATTGATGCGTCCCAGCCCCGCTATCTAGAAGGAGAAGTCCAGGCTTGGTATGGAAAATATATTCTGCAAACGGCCAGAGAACGATCGAGCAAGCAAGCAAGGGAACACTCCCCACTGCTATCATATAACTTGCCTTCAACACCTCGAAGTTGCGAAAAGGGTGGTGAGCTTCAGCGTAACAAGCCTTCTTACACGCAGCCCAAAATCATTAATAACAATGGTAATAATAGGTTTCTCACTCCACACCCTATCTACATTCCCCAGGACCACAACTGTAATTACTCCCAGAAAGAAACTTTTCACACCCTTTAGTACTAAGTTATCACATAAAAACGGCTCGCATGTGTGATAACAGTCCCAACTCCTTCCAGTTACGCGCAGCAGACCTCTCTCACGCTAACGTAAATAGCCATAACAAAGGCTACCAGTCTGTGGAGATAAGTTTGATAAGCTTATCTTGTAGATAGTTTTTAATATTATTTGTATTTGTTCTGTCAATTTCTCACTGCATGTAAATTTATCATTAAATGATTGTACCTGTTGTTTAAGTAAATGACCTTGAAGACTTTTTCCGTTGTGATACTACATAGCGTGATATATCGTTGCTGGTTAACAAATACACTGCTTCTCTCACATTCCCCGTTCTGTTTTCATTTGAGATTGAGTTAACTATGATCTAAAATAAATATTATTTACATTCATAGACTGTGAGAGCGAATACACCATACCTTACTTTGGATTACACCCCTGGGGAGTTCATCGATACGTTTGGAATTATCAAGCATCTTTAATTGTGGATTTATTGTACCAGATTAAAGCCGAACACGCATCATTTTGGGTGAACTTAAGTAAAGTCCCATTTTTATTGTATTTGTAACATTTAACTGATATATATTAATATTACTATTGCTTTTTATTAACTTTGTTGATACTTTTTGCGTTTGTATATCGTCTGATCCACCACAAGTCTAACCATCAAGACTATTTTGCAAGTAACCATACACTCCACAGTAGGCCTGTACAAGAATTTTTTGGAATACGACTCCTAGTGACACCTCTGTTGAAGCATATAGCCCAAGTTATTTCAAACCACATGCAAACCATAAATTTGTTTCCTCCGTACAATTTCCATCAGAGAGTACTCCGACCCTTTCCCCTTGGGTAAACTCCCCAATCAACTTCACTAGCTCATTTGATACATCTCCCACTAAGTCTAGCTATCAAAATACCGAGCTAATGAAGAACATTCAATCCCTCACTTCAAACTCATCTCACACCCGCGAGGGTTACGACGACTTTATCCGAGATACTCTTACCCATAGCAGTATTATAGGAGGTATTCACACTAGCATCATCCCTCCCATTCACAGGCGAGCTTATTTGTGGTGACTTCAATATGCCCGAAATTTCTTGGCTCCACTTGTTTTAGTGCTTTCTAACTGCTAATATTGTCTGTAACACGGAAAAGACAGTAAATATGTATTCTTCACTTTGCTCAGTGTGCTTTTTGCAGTAGTTGGATTTTTCTTCCACTTTTCGACTGTTCATTAAAAAATACTTGAAAGTCAATGGGAGTTACTAGTTGTATAAATGATGTAAATATCGATTGCACTGTCCTAACATTTATATAGTAGGTAAGTACCTCGAGCAAGGAAAAGTAAATGGGGTATATGTATATGTGTAATAATCATGCTTTAGACATGTATTCAGTGAATGTATTTTCTAAATGTTACTTGAAACTACTGTGAGATTGGGTGAATGAATGAACAAAGCATTTGATTGTTGCACTGACCGACTGAAATTCAAATTGTATGGATGAGGTATCAGTTTCTTCAATAATGCAAAATACGTATTTTATAGAAGTTTGAATATTTGATATTCAGGTATTGCAGTGTCGGAGTTTTTAAATCTTACCCACTTTGATTTAAGGGACCAGAAATTATCACTAGCTCTAATTTCGAAAATGTGTTTAAATACCAGGTAAATGAACGGTATATTTAGTTAACGCACCGTTCGGATCTTTATAGATAATCATGTGTGCCATTACTCGCTTTTGTTTTTTACTGTATAGATATATTGACCTAGTGAATCACTACAATGCATTGTCTTATGATTCTCCAGCGTTTGCCAATCTAGCTTTTTGGCGTTGTCAACAGTTATGTCATGTGAAATATAGATGTGCACTATGGGGTGAACATCAACAAGTTTTAAATTCACTTCGTATTGTTTTAAATCAGGTTAGTTGTTAAGTCTGTTTTCTATTTGCTTTTTGTTTTGTTTTGTTTTGTTTGACCTCTGATCTCTATTTCTTCATTATTTGAATATGTCATGCTTATCTCAATTTAATTGTACGTTATTATTGGGTGTGTTGACATGAACTTGTAATGTGAAATATATTCTAATAGTTCTATTCAGGTTTTGTACATTCATTGAATTTCTGTTTAGATGTGACGGTTTTTCGAATTGTTATATTCTCTTAGTTTTCATTTCAATTGTTGGCAGTTATTGTGGACTTAGCTTTTATTTAGGTTATCTTACGTTGGTAAATAATCTAAGAGATATTCTTCTTTTAATCATATAGATAGACGCTTTCAACGCTACAGAACATTTTACACGAGATGAAGTTTGTTCATATTTAGCCTATATTTTATAATAATAGTAAAAATAGACTGATGAATTACAGTTGTAAACATAATGGGACGATTTAGAGAGCAACTAATATAAAGGAATTAGATTTCTCCCCATTGCAAAAGTCAGTTGACTATCTGAACTGATTAGCTAAGTAGACAACGTGATGGTGTTTGAAGCGAATGGCTCTAATTTCGGGGTGAACATTAACTGTGGGATGCAGGTAAATCTAGTTGGTGAGTCCCAAATAGGACGTAACACGCTTTCTGGATTTCACTTCTGGTTACTATCCATCCCTGTTTAAAAATGCTTATGAATTGCCGACATTACCAAAGCAATTCTCACAGAATGGACACTTATCAACTGTAGTTGTAAACATCAAAAATTGACCAACGATATTATCCGGTTGTTCAATCCGATGCAGGCAAAATGAGCCCTAGTTTTAAGACTGACTAACTTTCCGGAAGTTGGACGCCTTAACTACTATGTCACTTTCATACTCATAGTTCATCCTAAAAATAGAGCAAGAATAAAGATTCCTTGTTTTGAAATTTATTCTGCCATGGATATCACTAAATCTTTATTTCCGAATTTATATTATTTCTATTCATAATTCGTATAAATATAGCTTGTTATACCATTGTCAAGCTTCCTTGAACCAGTTGAATCGAACTCATCCGTGATTCGTGTTTATGCGGCTGCAATTCTATCTGGTACAGTCCAAATAACTCGTCAACCTTTATTGTTCTTGATAACTGTACATCATTTGAATCGATGAGTTTGTATTTATTAAAACAAAAAATTCCCTATGAATGCAACATCACTTTCCTAATTTCAGATGTATGGAAGATAGACATTGTTAGGAACCTACCCTTGAAAATATTATTTTTCTGCTTATTGTCAAAAGTTTGTGATAAACCTGATAATTAAGTGCGAACATGAGAGACTTAGTGATCTTGACCAACTCTGGACTCAGTCCGAACAATCAGAAAACTGTAATTATGAAAATATGATTTACAGTGCTGGGATTAGCATGGCTCAATATCGATCACATTGGCGTCGTTGTATACATTCGTTGTCCTTCCTTAAACTATGAGATTAAAATCGCTTCATATCTTTCTTTCTATGAACTAATTCTTTCCTCGCGTACTATGTCATTATACGCACTCAGTCTTTTACATATTAC